GAAACGCAACGTGCATTACTGAATCATTTATTTTCAAATCCATACATTCCCTGCAGCAGTTCAAGCTCCATCAGCAGTGCAGGAATGTATGAAAATGACAGGCAAAGGGCACTAGCTCTTTTCCCATACTGTTCTTCTATAAATGGAAGCAGAGTCCTGCAAAGCACTTAAAGCTGAGAATGTTTGAAGACGGATCTCCAGGAAAAAAACGTTACAATGTTAGGTTCCACGAGCAGATTAATTATTCTGTTTTCCGCAAAACTGTTTCCCTTAAAGGAAAGGATGGAGAGGAAACCAACTACTAGAAAATAATGGAACGCTAGCTGGGTCTCATCTACAAAGCTGCCATGAACAAAGCGTATACATACACATATATATTTCATACGCTGTTCATGAAAATACTTCTTATCCCTTTTGGGAGCACCTGTTCCTGCATTCACTTTTCCCTTCCCTCTCAGCAAGGGGAGAGGGAGAGAAAAACGGCAGATTTGGCAGAAATCCTTTAACAGCCTCAAGTCAATTTGATTAAACTTTGATTTGCCTTAAAAATTACACCTTGTATCGGCAGCACGTTACAGAAACTTTAAGATACACCGTTCAGAATTAAAAAAGCTCTGAAATATGTAACGTATGCCACTTTGATAAGCTGGTTAGGCAAGCAAACGCAAGTATGCTACATCATAACACAATAAGAAACGTGAGTGCTTCTTGCTAAAACTGAGTTGTTTTCCGGTTTTCTTCTACTGTTGTTTTTTAAGGGTTAATACAAATACATAGCATTCTCTTAAAAAAAAAGAAGAAAAAGCCAAAGTCTTCGCACATTTAATGGCAGCCCTTCGCTGCTACTTTGCCATCCTTAGCGTGAAGAAAATACCGCTGCACGTACCATGTATCCACGCCTGGATGTACACCAGACCGAGCTCCCCGCGGTACCGAGAGGGAGGGGGCAGGAGGAGCCAAGGCAGGAGCAAACACTCTGCACACGGAGTCCCCTTCCCGGTATCTTTTTACAGAAGCCCTTGCTAACAAAACACTATTGCTCCAGGCAGCGGCATGCTGATGTTGGCACTGCTTAAACCAAACAAACACGATGTTTAACAGTCAAATAAAATGTCCCGCAGCCTCCCTAATGAATTTGTCAAGGACCATCAGATCACCCCCGCCCCTGCCTCATTAACTCAAGTATGATGAGACGGATTATAACGAGAGAATACAGATCAATCGGTCTGAAGACTTCAAGTGGCTTTTAGCCCTGAGAGTTTCCTTCTCTGAGGCACAGACACGCACGCGGTCTTTTTAATGGAATACAGTATCTCCTGCTGCTGGAGGGGCTGCCACTTCGTTTTATACACCATCAAGGAGCTGCTGATGGACTTCTACACTAACACACATAAAAGCAGAGGTGACAAGGGCTCTTCAATTATAGCCTCCTCGGATCCTGTTCCCCTTTCAATTATTCATCCCGGCGAGAGCAAATTCCGCCACAGATGAAGCAGGTCTTAATGCAGTGCGGCCACAAACGCCCAGACACAGGAGAGAAGGCTTTCACGTGCATTATTTGCTGGAAGTGTTTAAGTTTATTGCTCAAATGATGTTTCTAATTAGCGCTGAGGCAATAAATTAAAGTCGGCTTTTGTTTAGCTGATTTATTATTTACTAGAGCTTCAACCTCAGACAGGAAAATTGGTAATGAATTGTTTTAAATCCGAACACTAGTAACGCTTCATCATTAGTCACCTTACGGGGGGCGGGGGGGGGGGGGCAGGCTCGCCCTTCCTTCTCCTTT